GTACATTCTTCCAGAAACAAGTAAAGTATGTAGGACATATCGTATCTAACAACGGCATCGAGACAGACCCAGAGAAAACAAGTAAAGTTATCAACTGGCCAACCCCAACAACACCAGAAGAAGTTAGGAAGTTCTTAGGATTTGTTGGCTATTATCGTAAATTTATTAAGAACTTCAGTAAGATCGCTAAGCCATTATGCCAGTTAATGCCAAACCCAACAGAGACCAAGAAAACGGTTAAGAAATGTTCAACCAAGAGGAAGTGGAGATGGGGCACAGAAGAACAAGACGCTTTTGACCATCTGAAAGAAGCATTGATATCACCCCCGATCCTAGGCTATGCTGATTACAACACCCCCTTTGAACTCCACACTGATGCGAGCCATCACGGACTAGGGGCAGTACTTTATCAAGAACAGAATGGACAGAAGAGAGTAATCAGTTATGCAAGCAGAGGGCTTACCAAGGCAGAGAAGAATTACCCTGCCCACAAATTAGAATTTTTAGCTTTAAAATGGGCGGTGTGTGACAAGTTCAAGGATTATTTGTTAGGTAGTAAGACAAAAGTACTAACAGATAACAATCCACTCACTTACATTCTAACTTCTGCTAAATTAGATTCTACAGGGCACAGATGGTTAGCCGCCTTAGCAAACTTTGACCTAGAGATCCAGTATAGACCAGGCAGAAACAACTCGGATGCAGATGGACTCTCCCGACTTACTAATTCTGAAATTCAAAATTCTTCTATTTCTTCAGATTCTTTCAAAGCCTTATGTCATTCCATAGAAGTCCAGGTTCCATATGTAGAGAATTTTTCTTTGGATGCAGGTATTTTAAATCAGATTAATTCTCCTACAGGTAATTTTCAGTTTCAGGCAATCAACTGGGAGACATCTCAACACAAAGACCCTATACTGAGGAATTGGATACAACATGTAAGATCAGGAAGGAAGCCAAGAATGGATGAATTACCACCTACTCATCATTCTTTAGCGTTAATTAGAAACTTTAATTCTTTTATTATAGAAGATGGAGTACTGAAGAGGAAAGTAGAAATAGATGGGATCACCAGGAAACAGCTTGTTGTACCCGTCGACTTGATTCCAGCCATCCTTAAGAGTCTACACAACGACTTTGGTCATCCAGGTAGAGATCGGCTTATTTCCCTTGTCAAAGACCGTTTTTACTGGAATGGGCAGAATCAAGATATCGACTTATGGATTAAGAGATGTCACAGATGTCTTAGAAGAAAGGTTCCTACCAACCAGCGAGCACCTCTTATTCCAATCTGGACATCGTATCCACTGGAATTGGTCTGTATGGACTTCCTCACATTAGAGCCATCCAAAGGAGGTTTTCATCACATCCTAATCATAACAGACCACTTTACAAGGTTTGCCCAGGCTATACCAACCAAAAACCAGACAGCGAAAACAACAGCCGAGGCCTTGTACCAAAACTTCATCACCAAGTATGGATTTCCAACCAGGGTACACAGCGACCAAGGAGCAAACTTTGACGGAAATATCATTAAGGAACTGTGTCAGATCACAGGAATGAAGAAGTCCCGAACAACACCGTACCATCCCATGGGGAACGGAATGTGTGAACGATTTAATCGTACACTCTTAGATATGCTTGGTACACTACAGCCATCCCAGAAATCCAACTGGAAGATGTATTTGTCACCATTAGTACAGGCATACAATAGCACCAGGCATGAAAGTACTGGACAGTCCCCACATTTCCTGATGTTTGGAAGAGAGCCCCGATTGCCAGTAGACTTAGCTTTTGGGCTGAACAACAGTGAAGGCAAGTCATTAACAAAGTATGTAGCTGATTTAAGAGCCAGAATGAGTACAGCATACAAGTTGGCTATGGATTCAGCAGAGAAAGCTAGGAGGAAACAAGGTAAGTACTATGATTTAAAGGTACGGGGTGCAAATTTACAGGTTGGCGACAGAGTTTTAGTGAAAGTTTTGACTTTCGATGGAAAACACAAGATAGCGGACAGATGGGAAGAAGAGCCCTATTTAATTCACAACCAGCCAAATCCTGATATTCCAGTCTTTGTGGTGAAGAGGGAAGATGGCATTGGAAGAACTAAGACTCTTCATAGGAATCTATTACTGCCAATTGGATGTATCGATCCAGATGAGCAGCAAAAGATTACCAATAGACCAAAACCAAAACCCAGGAAAAAGAAGCCACAAAACACACCAAGAGTAGAAACAGATCAAGCTAGAGAAGAGCATGTAGTAGAAGAAAGTTCCAGTGACTCGGAAGTTGACTATTATTTTAAGGTACCGGTACCACCAGCTAGAAAAGCTCCAGCTGATGACCCACATGTTATCACTACTGAGGGAGCTGAAGAAGCTGAAGCAGCTGAAGAAGCTGAGAGAGTAGAGGAGCAGAGGTCTGAGCCAGAGAGTGTAGCCCGGGAAGACCCTGAACCCCAAGTGGAGGAGGGTAATGGCTCTGAGCCCAGTGAGAATACAGAGAGAGTATTAAGGAGATCAAGGAGAGAGAAAAGACCACCAAAACGGTTAAAGGAGTATCAAGTTTACCAAGTAAGTACTGATGACAGGAGTAAGAGTAAAGTAGATATCCTTAGACAAATGTTGGAGGATACTGATGTTCCAGAGGAACGGTTGATCTTATTGAGAGGTCTGATGGACCTGATTACCAAACTTTAGTACAACTATGTTTTTATGACTTTACTGTATATAGCAGATTATGATGTTACGCTGAGATTAATTAAATGACAGGGACGTCATTTCTCAAGCGGGGGAAGTTTGTGGTAGTTGTACTTTTTATATTTTTAGGATATGTATTTTAAATTGTACACATTATTCTCATTCTTTATTTTATTCATTCAGTCATTCACTCATTCATTCAGCGCTGTGCAATGCGATTTACTAACACTCTATGTTGTCTTGTTCAGTGTCTGTTATAAACCTAAACACCCCTATTTAGTTAAGTGTTGCATTCCAGGTAGACTACCAGGTAATGTTGTAAATGGGTTATTCCATTATTGAGTGTTACATTGATTTCTATTGGTCAGTGTGGTTGATTGGTTCTAAGGTAGAATTGGCGGGAATTACTATAATGATTTCCCTTATTATGAGAACTGGTTTCTGAAGGGTGTAAACCTGTATGTAGTGATAAATAAGATTTCATAGTGTTGGAGACACCACCCTTATTCCTGTAAGTAATTTAATAAATAATTAAACTACTAAATAAGTATCTAAATAATTTCTTAATGAATGAGAAATCTAAATAATTCATTTTAATTCATTTTAATCTAAACTTGCTAAATAAAGTGTGAGTGTGTGTAAGGAATGTATATAAAGATTGGTAAAGATCTATAAAAAAGCAAGTTAACTATTTTAATCTATTCTTGCATCCTAAATAAAGGATTCGAGAGTTTGTTATAATTTTACGTATTGTTAATTAGGTCAGATATATTTGAAGTGAAGTCAGATTGGTTTAGCTAGGAGTTAGGAATTCACCTTATTCCATAAATGGGGTTGAATCTTATCTGATCTTATCTGATCTGAACCTATACCAAAATAAATTGGATCCACACCCGAGAGAACCATCTTGTTGTTTTATCAAACCAAGAACCGGTTACATTTATATAGGCCTATAATATAAAAGTATTTTTTAACACCTATTTTTTTTCCAAAGCGATCTAAAGGCCTGTGTTTTAAAATAATTGGATGATGTTCAAGTCCGTACATTATCAGTCCAATCCAATACGAAAAATCGTAATATTACAGAATATCGTAATATTATTCTTATATTACTATTTTTCGTAATATAGTTAAATTACGAAAACTCGTAATATAGCATGTTGTGAGAGACTATATTACGAGTTTTCGTAATGTAAGACAAAATTAAGCATTGAAAGAAACTGAATGATGTTAAGGAAAGTATGACGTCAGAAATACATTATGCCCCAATGGTACTAGTATCACGTGGTCATTTTGGTCAGTGACGTCTATCGAAAAGTATGAAAATGCAAGAAGAAAGTAACAATAGTAATGGGTGAGTGAAAATTTTGTATTATTATTCTTATATAAGAATTTCCCCAAGGATGGGAACAATTTTCCATAAAACTTCAAAGTATCCTAAAACTTGTCATAGTGTTCTATAATCCCCGAATTCCCTATATTTTTCCCGAAGTCTACCCTAAAAATCAGACCCTCATCTCCAACAACGAGATGTTACGGGATATAACTTGTACAACTTTCACTAGGCTCTGACTCTGCATGCTCTTGGATCAAATGCATCAAAACAAAGAAAGTGCATGCATATCCACGATGATTTGATGAAACCAGAGACGTGTAATCTCTCATGAAACATAACAAGCAGGTTGTATCAGAAAAAAGGGAAGTAACTCTTAGAAGAGTTAGAAATTGCTTATATTACAAATTTTAATAATATTACGATTTTTCGTATTGGACTGGACTGATTATATAACGTATAAATTTGATGAAAAGTGGCTGGAAGCATGGGTTGGGGTTTGCAAAAATATTAGTAACAGCCACCCCCGAAAAAATGAAGTTTACAGGCGCAGATCCAGAAATTTTGATCCAGGAGGGTCCAACCCAGTAAAAAGAAATCCAACCCATAAATCGATCGCGATCTGTTATTGTCAACTGAGCAAGAAAAAAAAATAAAAGAAAGAAACAAGAAGCCCTAATATGCCATACATGCCATAATAATCAGCTAGTTGATTGTGGGCATCACCTGGCAGAAGTAGAGGCCCATGGGCCACATCGCTCACCTGAGCACTGTGGCTAGGAAAAGTAGAAATTGTTTTATTATTAAAAAGAAGTTGAAGAAAATTGTACTAGATAATTATAAAGAAAAATCTATGGAAAAAGTATCTAAATTTACAGTTGTACAGTAAAATAAAACACTATCTCGATATCCCTAATGTAGATTATCCAAAGGGTTTGGAAAAGTTTTGGAATTCCATGGAATTCCATTCGTTTCCATACCAAAGTCGAAAAGTGTGTCTGGAAGTTTTTGGAATATTTTGGAATTTGAAAAAATAAATGGACTTAGACATTTTTTGCTTTGGAAAGTAGTGGAATTCTTTGGAAAAAATGATAAAATGGGAAACTTAGCCATTTTCTGCTCTGGAAAACTGTGGAAAATTACTTAGAATTTTTTTAACTGTCGACCAATAGTACAATAACATCGGGATCGAAGTCGGGCTCGATGAACAATTAATTTAAACAACAAGCCGAAATTCAAAAATATCGAATGCCATGTTGATGTTGCACAGAAGGAAAGTTGGAAAGAGAGTGTCTAGAACAGGGGAATCTTGATTAGCTTTAGATGGAAGAGGATGAAGACATTTTAAGACCCGGTAGGTACAATATTGTACAGTATTTTATGTGTCCTTGAATGAAGAACGCTTCTGCTACCTGTTCATTTATAGTCTGGGCACCACACAGTCACACATAAACTGCCTGACGGTGAATCGTTAGTGCACTATTTCAATTTTGTAATAATTATTTAAAAACTCTAAAAATCTCATTAAGATCATGGATTTTAACCCGAATGTCCTCGTTTGGGATCGAACTTATGTAAAGAATTTTACCTATACGTTCCTTTGTGCAAGTCAAGATAACATTTACAGAGTATGATGTACAATGTAATTAATTATATATATTTTAAGGCATGTTCATGATCATTTTCAGCTCTTATTTTAATTATTTTATAGCTGTTGCTGCATAAAAATGTGCCTGAGATGATCCCCTCAGCGCTGGCGTTTGATAACTTGGTGGATGTAGATGCTTAGCCAGTCAGTCTCTAGGCTTGTGAATATGGTGAGAACGAGCTCAAATTATCGCTCAAACCAAGTTAACTAACTCTGATTTTATTAATCCATGTCTATTAGCATAATAATGTGTTCTACGGTGTGACCGTTGGGGGCGAGCACAGTTATTTACTTTCAAAATCCTTTATACAGATTTTACTTGCACTACCTATCCTCAATTGAACAGAATAACAAGTCAATTCCCACTTCCCAGGCATTGGGATAGAGATTCTGAATTTTCGGAAGTTTCCTACAAAATCCGAAATACCTGAGCCGTTTAAGTGACGAAAGTATGACGTCAAATAAAAAGTCCTGTTGACTCTTCACCGCAAAGGATTATTGGGAGTTTGGAATTCTTTCACGCTACGAGATAAAAATTTCTTGGAACGACGTGAAGACTCAACCCCAATTTCCTCCGTTCATACACGTTATAGTATATTGAGCTCGCAACACGACGCTCGCTGCGCTTGCTATTAAAAAAATTATTGCAACTTTGCCAAGAAAACAAAATTTAAAGGTTTATTTTCTTAACACGCTTAAATTCCTTATTCAAATAATTAATAACACTGCATTCTGACAGGTAATGTAAACATGAAAACTGCACAGACATGCCTAATTACTTTAGATCAAATAGCAATCATCTAATATGAAGTATACATGCATTTTACAGGAATCCGGGTGCTCACAAGGACAAGAGGTGTATGAATTTAAAAGAAAAACATAAAGGTAAGATTTCTGAATTATTTTCTAAATCAATAAAATCACATGAATTGAAATTATCTTTTTCAGTGTTAGTCAGGCATTGAGCTTGAGCTCAAACCTTTTTGTTTTAACTTACCTGAACCATTTTAAGGCCTAAGTGAGTTTTTTGATCAGTGCCTGATGTTGTCTGTCATCTATAAACTTTTCACATTTATACATTCATCAGAATTAATCCTAATTTGAACAAAAAATTGCAAGATAGTGAATTAATTCATATTACATAGTAAACTGATTTGCCAGGGAAAAAAAAAAATCAATTGTTTTGTATAGCTTTTGTTTATTGTTTGTCATATATTTATATGGATATCAATAATGATGCATCTTAATGGTCATCTTTTTCTTTCAGAAATCGTGTAAGGATCGAAAGTTTGAAGTGTCTGTTGGAATGATCAACATCGAACTTTCTGAGCCTTCGTACTGAAAGTGAATCTGTTCGTGACACCAATTAACTGTCAACCTTTTAACATAACCATTTACTAATTTCATAGAATATCAGTGAGGAAGTGCATGATTCTCTAGCAAACACGTCAGAAGTTTTGGATCTTCATTAATTGGGATCTTTGGCACGTACGTTGGGGGGAAATATCATCTGTTGATTTTATGGGATCATTGTATCAATATATTTGTGTAGTACATATTTTTTGCATGTAATACATGTGTTTGTCACTCTAGTCAATAACTTTGTACCAGTACATAAGCATGATAAGCCACTGGCAGTTCATTGTAAATGTATACTTTGTTGAGGTCTCAATGACTATTCCAATTCCATAGCCAATTTCATTTATTAAAACTTACTTCTTATTTTAGAAAATGCAGACTGGAGTTTACTAAATTCATGTATATCATAACATGATTATCATTAATTTAACCAAGGTGACTGATTCTCCGGTAATCATATTTTCTCTGTAAATAACCTTTAATGTAAAATACTTTCCGTGAGAATATTTTATGAAAGTGTGCTTATATTGTACATCTGAGAGTTATATCATATGCAATATTTGTCTCAAAAAACATTGTAAAAGAAACAATTTTTTATTTTGAAAATATAGATTTGATCTATGAAACATTGTGATGTTATCGATTTTTTTTTGTAATTATTTGGCACTAATTATTTCAGTTTTCTTTGTACATGTATTTGGAATTTGGAATCCTGGAATTCCATGGATTTCCATGGAATTCCTTAGATTTACAAACATCCTGGAATTCCACGGATTTCCTCCGCAAATTTCCATTCTGGCATTGTTCCGCTCTTTTCCAGGCTAGATTCAAAATTCCAAATCATTCCGAAAAAAGTTCCGTCCCAATACTCCGGAGAATTCTAAAGAATTCCGCGGAACAAAAATTCCATGGAATTCCATGGAATATGCTTTGGAATTCCATGGAAGTTGCGGAAAATCTACATTAGGGATGGAAGAGTATCCCTTACGCGCGGTTGAAAATAGTTTTAAGAATAGACAAATGTTAACTAAATTTCGAACAAGTGACCACTGCTTAATGATAGAAACTGGTAGGCATAAGTCCAGAACTTGAAGTTATACCGACTGTTTTCACTTTTACAAAACAATCATTAGAACTGAGAAATAGAAGGTCCACATCTGTAACATTTGGGGAATAAATTTCTATATATATGGATATTGTGTATATAATTCATTGTTCTCTTTTGTTTTGTTTTGTTTTTTTCTGATGTATTGCTTGATCATGACCCAAATGGGTGTAATATGCAATAAAGATTATTATTATAAAAAATTATTGAAAAGTTTAAATCCAAAAGTAGTCCCATGACCAATCATGGCTTTGCTTTTCTTGAGAAGATGATTTTTAAAGAATTTCCCTATACATGTCTATGTAAAACTTTGATCGGCTATTGTGGCCCCGCCCTATCCTCGGGGGTCATGAATTGAACAAACTTGAATCTACACTAGCTGAGTATGCTTCCATATAAATATGATCAATTATGGCTTTGCTATTCTTGAGTTTTCCTATATTTTCCTAAATGTAAAACTTTGGTCTGCCATTGTTGCCCCGCCCTACTCCCGGGGGGTAATGATTTGAACAAACTTGAACCTACGTACACTACCTGATGATCTTTCCATATAAATATGATCAATTATGGCTTTGTTATTCTTGAGAAGAAGATTTTTAAAGAATTTTCCTATATATTTCTAATTGTAAAACTTTGGTTGGCCATTTTGGCCTGTGCCCTACCCCCAGGGGTCATGTTTTGAACAAATTTGAATCTACACTACCCGAGGATGCTTCCATATAAATATGATCAATCATGGCTTTGTTAATCTTGAGAAGAAGATTTTTAAAGAATTTTCCTATATATTTCTACGTAAAACTTTGGTCGGCCATTGTGGCCCCGCCCTACCCCCGGGGGTCATGATTTGAACAAACTTGAATTTGCACTACCTGAGGATGTTTCCCCATAAGATTCACCTTTCCTGGCACAGTGGTTCTTGAGAAGAAGATTTTTAAAACATGCCACCAAATTTTCATTAATTCCCAATTATCTCCCATTGAATTAGGGCGTGTGTACGTCTCAATGAGTGGTACTGTGATTTACAACATAGTCCATCAGAACTACAGTGTGTAGGTCTCAATGCGTGGTACTGTAATTTACAACATAGTCCATCAGAACTATAATGTGTAGGTCTCAATGAGTGGTACTGTAATTTACAAGATAGTCCATCAGAACTATAGTGTGTAGGTCTCAATGTGTGGTACTGTAATTTACAACATAGTCCATCAGAACTACAGTGTGTAGGTCTCAATGCGTGGTACTGTAATTTACAACATAGTCCATCAGAACTATAATTTGTAGGTCTCAATGAGTGGTACTGTAATTTACAACATAGTCCATCAGAACTACAGTGTGTAGGTCTCAATGCGTGGTACTGTAATTTACAACATAGTCCATCAGAACTATATAGTGTGTAGGTCTCAATGAGTGGTACTGTAATTTACAACATAGTCCATCAGAACTATAATGTGTAGGTCTCAATGGGTGGTACTGTAATTTACAACATAGTCCATCAGAACTATAGTGTGTAGGTCTCAATGTGTGGTACTGTAATTTACAAGATAGTCCATCAGAACTACAGTGTGTAGGTCTCAATGTGTGGTACTGTAATTTACAACATAGTCCATCAGAACTACAGTGTGTAGGTCTCAATGTGTGGTACTGTAATTTACAACATAGTCCATCAGAACTATAATGTGTAGGTCTCAATGAGTGGTACTGTAATTTACAACATAGTCCATCAGAACTATAGTGTGTAGGTCTCAATGCGTGGTACTGTAATTTACAACATAGTCCATCAGAACTATAATGTGTAGGTCTCAGTGGGTGGTACTGTAATTTACAACATAGTCCATCAGAACTATAATGTGTAGGTCTCAATGAGTGGTACTGTAATTTACAACATAGTCCATCAGAACTATAGTGTGTAGGTCTCAATGTGTGGTACTGTAATTTACAACATAGTCCATCAGAACTACAGTGTGTAGGTCTCAATGCGTGGTACTGTAATTTACAACATAGTCCATCAGAACTACAGTGTGTAGGTCTCAATGCGTGGTACTGTAATTTACAACATAGTCCATCAGAACTACAGTGTGTAGGTCTCAATGCGTGGTACTGTAATTTACAACATAGTCCATCAGAACTATATAGTGTGTAGGTCTCAATGAGTGGTACTGTAATTTACAACATAGTCCATCAGAACTATAATGTGTAGGTCTCAATGGGTGGTACTGTAATTTACAACATAGTCCATCAGAACTATAGTGTGTAGGTCTCAATGTGTGGTACTGTAATTTACAAGATAGTCCATCAGAACTACAGTGTGTAGGTCTCAATGTGTGGTACTGTAATTTACAACATAGTCCATCAGAACTACAGTGTGTAGGTCTCAATGTGTGGTACTGTAATTTACAACATAGTACATCTGAACTATAGTGTGTAGGTCTCAATGAGTGGTACTGTAATTTACAACATAGTCCATCAGAACTATAGTGTGTAGGTCTCAATGCGTGGTACTGTAATTTACAACATAGTCCATCAGAACTATAATGTGTAGGTCTCAGTGGGTGGTACTGTAATTTACAACATAGTCCATCAGAACTATAATGTGTAGGTCTCAATGAGTGGTACTGTAATTTACAACATAGTCCATCAGAACTATAGTGTGTAGGTCTCAATGTGTGGTACTGTAATTTACAACATAGTCCATCAGAACTACAGTGTGTAGGTCTCAATGCGTGGTACTGTAATTTACAACATAGTCCATCAGAACTACAGTGTGTAGGTCTCAATGCGTGGTACTGTAATTTACAACATAGTCCATCAGAACTATAATGTGTAGGTCTCAATGGGTGGTACTGTAATTTACAAGATAGTCCATCAGAACTATAGTGTGTAGGTCTCAATGTGTGGTACTGTAATTTAAAAGATAGTCCATCACTATTACGTTGTATAGTGTGTAGGTGTCAATGAGTGGTACTGTAATTTACAACATAGTCCATCAGAACTATAGTGTGTAGATCTTAATGTGTGGTACTGTAATTTACAACATAGTTCACGAGAACTATGGTGTGTAGATGTCAATGTGTTGTACTGTAATTTACAACATAGCCCATCAGAACTATAGTGTGTATATCTCAGTGTGTGGTACTGTATTTTACAACATAGTCCATCAGAACTATAGTGTGTAGGTCTCAATGAGTGGTACTGTATTTTACAACATAGTCCATCAGAACTATAGTGTGTAGGTCTCAATGTGTGGTACTGTAATTTACAACATAGCCTATCAGAACTATAGTGTGTAGATGTCAATGAGTGGTACTGTAATTTACAACATACATGCATGGCTACGTTAAGGACGCCCATAGGAAACATGTCTTAAAATATTCCAAGAAAATCAATATAATGTTTTTCTCT